AATGGTCTGTACTGCCTTTTATAAGCTACTGCCTGTCCAAAGGACTACAAGCTGTTCTCAGAGGACCATAAAATTAACTACAGAAAGCATGAGCTGTTTCCAGAGCTCCACCTTGACTTGGTTGCTCAGAGACTGCATATCAGTAGAGGCCATAATCACTGGCATCAGGAGAAAGCTACCTGGGAAGGACCACTGGTGTAAACCAAGTTTAATCAGACCTTTGGGTATTTTAGGAGAAAGACTTGTGAGTATGCAAAGAAAAAATAAAGAGTCTGGGGAGTTTCACTGATATTCCACTGCATTTATCTGCACTGTTGGTCATCACTCATAAGAAATCCACCTCTGCTTCTTCAAACCTCTGCCAGTCAAGTCAGATAGAAAGTATTCTGTATAATACCTGCATGAGAGGAAAAACAAACAAACAAACAAACAAACAAAAAACCCAACTCTGCACCTGAAACAGAAATGCAACTGCATACATAATGGCTGAGCCCCAACACCCTGGCAGGCCAGCCTGGATGTAAGGAGCCAGGAGACTCACAGTGATGTACCAGAGAGGCAATTTATTAATCTGTAGCTTTTGCCAACATAGGTCTGTATAAGTTCAAAACCAAGAAAGTTAAACTCTTAGCTATTAAACAAAAGTATTGGTTAAGCCCTGAAGGATAATCAGTGTAAGGTTTTTCTTAATTCTCTATCACATTAGAGCATCTTTAAAAATCACTCTCTCTGTGATCCTGTCTATTCATCTACATATCTATATTTTTATTCCAGAATACAACAGCAATAAAACATGTTATTTTATTCACACTAAGCAACCTGAAATTAACTTAGTGATTTGAAGGTCTACTTGATTATTTTTTTTAATTGTTGGCAGATGATTCATTGAGATGAAAAATCACACTTCATTGTGCAAAAATAAACTTTCTCAGAAAATACTGCCAAAGCTGAAGTATAAATGCTTTTGAAAGATTAAGTGCATTATAGAGATTAGAGTGTCATTTTGAAATAGAAAAAAAAAAACAGGGGGGAAAAAGGTACAAATTATCCTAATGTGGGTATGTGCAAAATAATAATCTTAAAGCCATTTTACTCCTGTAATTGTTTAAAGATCATAAAATAAGATTGGTACCTCCGCACAGGCCAAAATGTTGCATTTTAATCCTTATACCACTTAAAAGCAGCATTTTGTTTTCTTCTGTCAGTCTGGATCTGAGTTTAAGGGAGTTACCAACTGGAAAACTATGTAGACAGTGTCTCAGATTACATAATTTTTCATTAGGAAATACTCAGATATTCTGCAAGATATTCTGTTCAGATATTCTGCAAGTACTTAAAACATACAGGATTTGGCTTCAGAATTTGACAGCATACCACATCCTCTAAGACCACGAGAATTTAAAACGTTCATCTGAGGGCAGACCTATCAGTCTTTGTAATCCCACCATTTAAATACTATTAAGCTTTTTTATCTTTTTAGCTTTTAAAAGTCAAAATGCATGGAAGGAAGAAAATAGGAAAAATAACACTATAAAAGAGAAACAAACTGCCATAAAATAATGCTTTAGGAGACTAGAGAGCTAATATATAAGCAACTTGCAAAGACTTAATCAGGCAAAAATTTTAAAGAACACCGTAGTCAATTTTCACATTTATTCCCGATAAAAGATTGTGATACAGCATTGCCTCAAACTTGTTTACATACCCTTCCCTGGTATGAATACAAAATACTAAGACAATACATAGAAAACTCTTGAGAGTTTAAAAACCAGAGTGTTGCAGAAGCAATTCCCAAGAGTTCTTTCCTGTTGCACTACAACCAAAGAAATTCAGGCTGGCTAGGCAGAGTGATGGAAAAGTCCACTTGGTGCAAACCCCGTTTCAGCTGAAAACAGAACAGACCAGTGTGGGCAGAAGAGGATTCAAATGCAGATTCCCTGTTTCTGCTGCAGCACGATTTTGGGCAGAGCCAGTCTCAACATCCCCTCCTGCACCCTCCCAGAACCAGTCACACTTTCAGGAACCTCTCCCAGTTAAGCCCAGAAATCATGAGGGAAAAGGAGATTCAATTGCTCTCTAAAAATATACTATATTCTGAAGAGCAAAGACATGGAGAAGGAGCCTTACTGTTTAAGGTCAGCAGTGGCACAAAAAAAAAAAAAAAAAAAAAAAAAAAAAAAAAGGAGAATAATTTAGGACAGAAATTCAATCTTTAAAAGCATGAAAAGTGAAGCTCTGCCCCACCTTCAAGAGGTGCAGTGAAAGTGATACCCCAGCTAATTTTAAACCAGAGTTTTTTGAATCTGAACAAAATAAGATCAGCCTAGCATTATATCAAACAGATTTCATGACTCCACAGGCCAATCAAGTTCTATCTCCCATGTTGAAAAATGTAAGAAGATAGTTTTCTCTTACCAGTTCAGGCCACTACAGCAGCTAAACCCACATATTCATGAGTCAGCACACAATGCAATACAGTTTCTCATTTCTGTTCACCTGTTCTTTTTCATTTGCAAGTAAATACTGATAATAATAGTTAGTTATGGAAGAAGAAAAGAAAAACTGCTTTCCAAAAATTTCAGTTTATAACCCTTTATAAAGGTGTCTTAAATCCCTATATACTGTCCTGAATACCAAAACAGATGTAAAGAAAAATAGAAGATGTCATTTCAGTCTAGACACCCATTACTCTCAGGAGCTAGGGCAGTATGACTATATCCCATACTATATAAGGAATATAATGATATCATCACCTGTAGAAGTGAAGCTGCAATGTGTAGGCAAAATTTTAATTCATCTCAAAAGCTCAAAAGGACAATTGTCTTTGACACTAACTATGGCTTTCTAAATCATTAGTCATGGCAGAACTATAGAAACACCAAGCCTAAACCAATTCCACCAAGCCAAATCCTACTCTGCCCACATACTGCATAGAGGTAGAAGGATCCTCTTTCAAAAGTGGCTCCTTTATTCCTGTTTTAAGATCCCAAGGCTGTTTGATATATATGAAGTCCTACAACCTCAGAATACTGCAAATGAAACGCATGTATATTAATTACCATACTACTCAGACAACAGGTGCTTTGTGGATGAAATCTGGCACTAAATACAAAGTTTTAGGAATGCACTTTCTCAGACTTTGAGATAAGACTAGGTGAGCAGGATTAGCTCTTCACTCAGCAACTATCTGCACAAAATTACTCACAAAACACACCTGCAGTATTAAAAGAAAGGACAAAAGGATCATTCTGGAAACTGCTAGCCTAGTTACTTTATTTCAGTGCTTTAGCAGTAGCAAAATATTTTGCTTACTGGGAGTTGCACCTAATTTAAAGAAAATACTTCATTTAAATATAAGGAGGGATGGAAATAAATAGAGGGGTGGAGAATAAAGTTTCAATCTCTCTTGTTTTTAATGGCTTGCTTTTAAATTAAATCATGAAAAAGTAAACAGGCTGAGTCTTCTTAAAATGTGGCATAATGACCCAACAGATCATAAGTATTTTAGAAAATCATCATAATCTATCATGGAAATATCTCAGCTAGTTTTTAGACACATGAATTATTGACCCTGTTATGCTGCCAAAAGTATTTACCATGTTAGAGTAGAATTCATGCATAAATATGTGCAAAATATTTTTATTACAGGAAAACTGGAAAAAGCCAGAGCAAATACATAATAGTTATGTTTCCACAAAGACAAATTAATTTATTTTTCAACATGACTAATTGCATGATATAAACACTTCTTACATTTTCTACTTTAAAGAAAGCTGTTACATTGCAAGAATTTAAACATAAGCATTAGAAGCCTCAAATTTTCAGATGCAATTGTAGTTCTCTGAATTATATTTGCTTATATGACAGTGATAAAAGATATATATCCCCTGTACCTTACTTTAGTTTCCACATCTGAATACACGACATATCTTTATAGTCAGTTATAGATCCTTAAATGCTCTTTGTAAAAAAATACAGTAAGCAATCCCATCACAATAAAGTAAACAGAGAACATCACAGAACACTCAGCACTTGAACTTTAGCATAATATCACACCCTATTTCTCTCTGGAGGGAAATAAATAAATAAATAAACCCCAAACCAACCCACCCTGTCATCTGGAAAAATCTTTGCAAATTGTGTTTTACAGAACCAATATCCTGTCCGTACATAAGGGGCAGCCTCTGTTAAGCATTTAAGTGCTCTCAGTGAAAAGTAACAGTTTCTCTTCCAATCCTGAACTCTCAGTAACCATCACGGAAAGTAACAATTTCCTATTCCCCGTCAGCCAGTGGTACTATTAATCATCAAACAAAAACGAAACACCTTCAAGCAAATATCAGCTTCTGATTAATCTCCATCCCAATGAATTAGAGTCATAAGAGGCAACCTGCTGCCTTGTTTACGCCTTTTTAATACGAGGAGCAGAAGTTGGATATAAGGGTTTTCTGCCCTTAGGGCTACAAAATATGCCTCATGTGGCAGCGAGCCAGCTCTCGGAGGGAACCTCCTTTGCTGTTTCACAGTTATTTTCTAATGGATAAATTTAAACAGACACACAGAAACACACGAGTCACCACAATACATGGCAAGAGCTATTGTTTTTGTCTAAAGTCCTGTGAGCATCTGTACTCCTAATGAGGATCTCAAGGTTCCATCCTGTTTCAGTTTGGGCTTTATTTTTGGCTGTTTTGTTTATTTGGTTTTTTTTCAAATGCAACGAGGAGAGGAGGGGTGTCGATTTTTTTTTTCCCCAGCTGCCTTCCCCTCTATAGAGCACAGCACATAAAACACCTCTCTTCAGATCTAACTGACCTAGGCTCAATTAGTGCAACATTTTGCACACATCCAAGCAATCACAAGGCAGAGATATTTAGTCCAGTCCTCATGTGTATTGCACAGACACGTTTAGAAAGGGGTGGAAGGAGATTTCTTTAAAAAAAAAAAATCTCACAATGAAATTTACACAGTGTGGAAACGCCTACAAGGAGATGAAGTACCTGCACTGGGGAGATGTTCAGTTGTTCACTTCATCTTCCGTTGACAAGGAAACCAAACCGCACTTCATTCTCCAGGAAAACCTTCCACTGCCATCATTTGAAAATGTATTTATTTGTATATATGTATATATCTATCATCATCATCATCATGATAACAATAACCATCATAAAACACTGCTGGCAAAAGAATAAAAAGTGAAGGTGCAAAATGTGCAAAAGTAAGGATCATCTCTTTGGCTTTCTGTTTTGCTTTGTTATCTTTAGGGAGGAAAAAAAAGTATTTAAAAATGATGACTGCAACATGCTGCAAGAAAAGTTTCACATTATAAACAGGCATCAAAAACTGAAGAAGAGGAAAACCAAAAAACCCTGCTGGTTGCACTGTTAAAAAAAAAAAAAAAGAAAAAAGAAAAATAAAAAGAAACAGTAACAAAAATAATAAAATTAACATCTTGCTCTGTGGCTTCCACCAGAATTGCAAGATTACAAACTCTGTGTAAACACTGCTGTAAAATGCATTTGCAATTCCCATCTCCTTAAGAAAAAAAAAAAAAAAAAAAAAAAGCCCTTAAAAAACACCCAAAAATAAAAATAAAACAACACCAGAAAAAAATCCTCTGCAAAAAGAGTTAGAAACATGCCTTTTCTCTTATCTTTAAAAAATAAGCATCATATTTCCCATTGCTTTTCCGTGCCACAACAAAACCAGTTGCATATATAGATATATAGCTATTAAATGTACATCAGTTGTTGCTGGACTGGTGTTATTAATATTATCATTTTTCATTCCCAGTGACTCCCAGCCCCAGCAGCACCTTTTGCTCACAGTTTAGTAACCATCGCATGCTAGGAAAAAAAACTTGTCATCAGCAAAAGATCAAATCCATTTAAACAATAATCAAAGAGGAAGAAAAAAAAAAAAGAAAAAAAAGAAGAAAAAAAAAAGAAAACAAAAAAAACAAAAGGAAGAAAAAAAAACAGGACAAAAAAGGAGGACAAGAATGTCAGCGGAAAGGTACTCACCGAGCGGGAGTAAAAGGGAGGAATAAAAATGAGAGTTACTATAAAATACAGTATGGCGGTGGAAGAAGGAATGAGGCGCTTTTTTTTTCTCTCCTCTCTAGTCTCTGCCTCCGGCAACCGCCACGTGATCCGGAGCCGGGCGGACTCGCAGCCGGGAGGGCGCAGCGGCGGCGCCGGGCGCGGACCCAGCCCGAGCCCAGCCCGCTCCGCGCCCGCCGCAGCCGCCCGGCTTCGCCGCCGCCCAGCGCTCCGCTCCGCGCCGCCGCTGCCCTCGGCAGGTGCCGCTCGCCCCCGCGCCCAGACGCGCTCCGCTCCGCTCCGCTCCGCTCCCTCGCTGCCGCCGAGCGCGGGCACGCAGCCGGCCGCGCGGGCGGGGTGCGGAGGCGGGCGCGTCCTGCGCGGCAGCGCAACTCGCTCGCCGGCGCTGCGCGAAGTTGTCGCCTGACACCGCCCGCCCGCCTGTTGCCCTCCGGCCGCGGCGCCGCCGGCCCCCCCGCTGCAGTGCCGCTCGCCCCCGGGAGCGGGGCCGGCGGCGGGCGGAGCGGAGCGGAGCGCCGGGGTTTGCCCGGGTGAGGGGTGATGTGCCTCCGGCGGCGGCCCCAGTGCAGCACCGGGCTCCGAGGCGTGTGCCCCCGCCGGGTTACCCCTCCCGCCGATCCGGCGGGGGATGGGGGACTGCTCGCGGGGGTAGCGCCTGTGCGCGCACGGCAGGGGCAGCCCGCCGCCCGACTCGCCGTCTGCACGGGGTGCCAGCCCCGATTCCCTCGTGTGTGCGGGGGTGCCCTTCCCGTAGCTTCGGCTCAGCGTGGGTGCGCGGAGTATCCCGGCAGGCAGACAGGGCAGACAGGGGCATCCCCTGTTGTCACGCCAGCTCCAGGGCACCGCTGCTGCCGGTGCAGCGTGGCGGGCGGGGGGTTCCCCTGTGCCGCTCCTGCTCCGCTGTGTGCAGCTCGGGGTGCTCCCGTGCCGAGCGCTGCGGGTGCAGTCACTTTGCGCCCAGTCATGTCTGGGCAGCGCTGCTCCGGCTTCCTCCGGAGAGCGGTTCACATGTGCAGCGGGGAAGAGGACAGGTACCACGGGTCCCATCCATTACTGCTTCTGTTTCCAGGCCTCTGTCTAGCTGCACGGCTTCTCCCTCCTCCTCCCGTCCTTCCAGCGGCAGGGCTGATGCTTCCCATCACAAAGTTACCGGCCGAGGTGGGAATTCAGTGTTTTCGGAGGGGGCCATTCACCGCTGGGTCCGCTCCCGAGAGCAGCCCGCAGGCGCAGGTACCGTGGCGCAGGGCAGTGTGCTCCGGCCAGGCTGACCCAGGGTTGCAGCCGCGCTCGGCTGCACCACAGCCCGCAGCTGCCCGCAGGGCTGGAACTGTTTAGGGTCGAGCCCCTCGACCGGACTCAGCTGCGGCCCTGAAGCAGCTCTGTGGCCGGCCGGATGGCAGCTCTCTCTCTCCCTTTTCCTTTAACAGACAAAAAATGCACTGGAGGAGACTGTGCGCTGCTGTTGCTGAGAGTTCCCTCAAGACGCTTGCTTTTCCCTTTTTAGCTCTCCTCGCATGTCTCCTTATTAACAAACACAGCAGTGGCAGGGAGCGGCGGCTGGGGCTGAGAGCAGCTTTGCTCTGGCTCCAGCTGAAGCAAAACCTGCTCAGTATTGCCAGGCCACAACCCGCTGCCTCGGCTGTGTCCTCACTTCACTGGCCCCCAAAATGTTCACAGCTAACAATCACAAACAAACTTACTTATTTACTGCTTCAACAGTAGAAGGAAGAGCCACAAGAGATAAATTAAGAGAGGAATAGAAGTGCACTGTGAACTAGGCACTGTGATGGAGCAGTCCAGCCAGTATTTTCCAATAGTACCCTACTTCTTCCTCCCCGCTTCTTCTTCATGCACTTTTTTTTTTTTTTTTCCAGAACCTGTCTCTTTTCATCCAGGTCAGGAGGCAGGAGATACAGTCAGGTTATTAGTGTACAAAAATTACTCTTACCAGTTAGAGGATGCCCTGCTATATAAAAGACTGGTGAGGGCACCAGCCTGCCTTCTTCGCATCCTCACACAAAGATTTTTCCCTTGCCCTGACCATTTCTTTCTTTCTTTCCTGTCCTGTATCTCTTCCCCAGTGTTTCCAGAAAATGAAAAGAAATGCTCCCTTTCTTCTTTGCTCTCAACTTCTTTTATGAAGTATAAAAAGAACACTGGCCAAAGTTTAAATATATATATAACCAGCTATAGTTTCTTGCTTGCTTTATATTTTGGCACTGGGCTTGTTTTGGCATTTCATAATTTTCTTCCCTTGCTGTGTTTGGCTCCCAGGAGCAGAGCTATACATCTGAGAAGGTTTAAAACAAACATAAAAGCAAAATAAAGGAAGTCCGTAAAGATTAAAAAAATTACAAGAAATTGAACATTTAGTGTGACAACTAACCAACTTGACTGTACAAAGTTGCATGTACACATGACAATAAACTTAATCATATTGTCATTATAGTATCACAAACTGTCATGTCTTGAGGTTTCAGGTGTGGGAGGTGTATTTCCTTGGATGGTGCACTTCAGTTTGTCATAGCTCTAGGTACTGCATGTATAAATACAGTTGAATGACTAAAGCTTTTTTTAATGATATTTAACATCAAAACATAATTACAAAATCAAGGCATAAGTAGCAATCCTATTTTATTGTTGCTTTTCAGTTTTCATTACTGTTTATGTACTTTTGAACACATATGTCTTCCTGAAATAACAACAGCAAAAGTTAAAGGATTGTGTTTTAATCCAGAGTTGTACAACAGTTCTGACTTGTAAATTATTTGTTGACACATATAGAGGATCAGAAGATGTACATTTCAGACAATGTATTTTATGTATTATTTGTTCAGTAGATTCCAAGAACTAGGAATAAGATAAGCTTGAATAAAAGTGTGTTCCTTTTCTCAATGTGTATGTATTGACTAGTTATTTTGTAAGTGCATTAAAAAGTCATTATTATACACTTGGCAAATGTAAATACTGAAAGGGCTTAGGGGCAGCTTCCAGACCAGGTCTAGAACAGTGCTGAGGGGATCAGAAAATGTAAATAAACTACTTTCTCCAATATTGTAAATATAATGAAAATTAACTGGTTCATTAGAACTTAAACTTAGCTTTACCTATGGAATCACAAAGTATGCTTCTGTCACTTTTCCCCTTACAATCCATTAAGATGTAGAAAGCACTAGAGGGTAAGAGGTGCAAGAGGTTTGGGAGGAGTGTATGTTTGGAATAGGTAACAAGCGAGAAAGAGCTTGGAATAATGCTGTTTTTGCAGAATCACAGGAAGTGTTTATTCATTGGTGTCTAGTTTCTACTTTCTGGTTATTCCTGTGGGAAATTTCCTCCAAGAGCAGTTGAACACTTGATGCTAGACTGAAATGAGGGAAAGTTCATCGCATTGCTTGGTTATGAACAGTGCTCAACAAAGTATACAGTAAAAGAATGCAGTTCAAAAAGAAGGAAAAGTAGCATCCCTTAAATAATTTTGAGATCAATCCAATGCATGCAAATAAGGTGTCTGCTGGCATTTTTTACACTTTTCTTCTGCAGAATAGCAACTGAGTTCCTCTGAAACATGATTAAGACTTATCCTCAAAAGTAGCAAAGAATTCTGGGCAGAAAGTGAATGAACCAGCACTTCTATACTTCTGCTTAGCTACCAGCATAGAGTTGCTTCCTAAAGGTGCCCACAATATTGTACTAAACCAGCGCTCTGTGACTTATACTGGGCTTGCTAGTCTTTAGTCATGTTATGCAATCCCAATATTTCATATACCTTTCCTGTATCTTTGCAGTACCACTCCCTTCCCCCCTTCCACCTCCCCAAAGGAGCATAAATAAATACATTCTGAGATTACCTAATTGTCTATAATCTCTTTTTTCTTGATTTCATTAAACTTCTGTGCCCTCAGCATAGTGCTGCTGCTGTATATACACATTGCTTGGACAATTTTCTTCCCTTTCTACTGGAGCTGGTATTGGAGAAACACACAGTTGATTTTTTTATATGGCTTTCAGTGCACTTACACTTTCCTAAAATAAAGAAGCTTCTCTTTGCAGGTAGTAAGCAAATAGTTGGAGTCCAGCACTAAGGAACTGGCTTTGCAAAGATCCATCGCTATGACTCAGCAGCCCGAAAGCCTGAGCTCAAGTTGCAAACAGGTGCAAACAGCTATTGGTGTCTCCTTTTGCACTGTCAGAAGTCAGCTAAAACAATAACAGATGCAAAAATAGCAACAGTAATAATAAAAATAGTGATAAAATAATTAGTGGTCCTTTTTTGAAGATACAACTCCCTGAACCTGATTTAATGGCTAATTTGTATGTAATCCCTTTGAGACCGTTCAGTATAATTTTAGGTTTATAAAGTTGTGGTGGGTGTTTTTGTTTGTTTGTAAATGTTGTTTATTTCTACCATGAAAGCAGTAAAGGGAAAAATAGTTGACCAGCAATGACTGCTAAATGAAAGAATTACTTGAAGTTAGCCAACTATAATCTTTTTAAACCATTAAAGAAAGAAAATTGTATTTTTCAAATACTAGAGACTGAACTATAATAATTTAAATCCATTTATGTATTGGCTTTATTCTGATTCAATTGCTATACCTTAGACAATATCAAGTTTAATTACTTCATATTTTTAAAGTGCACTCCAGTTCATGTGAAAAATATGAGATGTTACTTTAGAAAGAAATTTCATTCATCTGTTTGTCTCTGGATGCTATCATTTTTCTTGCTTTTTTTTCTATAGATGAATTGCTAATTTTAACTAAAATCTGTACTTGTTCTCCTTCTGCCTCTCTTACAGTTCTTTTAAGACACTGTATTTATCTATACAGTGAAGGCAACTCAATTCTTCTTTTACCACTTTTTCATCTGAAATTTCCAAGTGTCTGAGCAGAACGAGGGTTAAAAAGTTCAGTAACAAATAACAGAAGGAATAATAGC